ATCAGATTATTATGATTCAGGAATTCCTTAAAATCTCTAAAGCTTCTCTCTTCTCTCGCCAAACCATCCCACTTTTCCTCATTAGACAGAATATCATTAAAATCCCTAGCTATCATAAATCTGCTTCCCCACAGCTTACTTCTCTCTTTAAGAACCTTCCATTGATTCTTCCTAATATGAGCATCACAGCTCACATACATACTTATAAACCACCATATACACTTGAGATCCATATCTTCGATCTTGGCTTCAATGGTAAAGGCAGTCTGATACACTTCTAACACCTGAGTGTCTTCCTTCCACAACAAGGCCATCATGCCAGCCTTATGCATAGCCTCCACCACTGCACTATTATCAAATCTCAGGCCCCTGGCTATCCTATCTACTACTTATTTTCTATTCTTGGTTTCACTTAAGAAAATCAGGTTAGGAGAGAGAAGGTTATTCACCTCCTTGAGATGGGAAACTGTCAAGGGGCTCCCCACTCCTTGACAATTTCACACCAAAACTCTCATATTTGCATGGGGACTCCATTCCGGATGGACCCCACCTCCTGTCCTTCTGTTGACCTTGGTCGATCAATCCTTGATTTTGATGATTAACAAACCAAAATATAGATTTGGGCTAATGTTTTTATATGAGCAATTTGTTAGAACAGATTCTAGTGGCACAAATCGGACGTCTGAAAGGAAGCTATCGGACGTCTGAAAGGATGAAAAACATCAAGAAGGAAACTCTGTCGGACGCTCGTGAGAAAGCATCGGACGTCCAGAAGGATCGGACGCACGCCTCGGACGCACATCGATCGCATCGGATGTCCGAAAAATTTCGCAAAGATTTGATGACTCTCTGACGACGTTCGGACGCAGGGTTCGGACGTCCGACAGGTGGTTCGGACGCAGGGTTCGGACGCAGGGTTCGGACGTCCGACAGGCCAATGGTTAGTTTTGACAGCATTTAATATTTGACCGTTGGAGAGCCTTTTGGAACCATTTCTCACCTTCTATAAAAACCCCAAAGCACAAGAAGACAAGGGACTTTTGCCAACACAAAATACAAGCTTACAAGTGAGATTTTTGAGTAGAAAGATTCTTTGTTGGTTGTATAAAGGGTTGGGGAAGTTGGGTTGTGAGGTTGCTCAAGTGAAGGTTACTCTCTAGGAGGAGTAAAACCTTGGTGAAGGTGAACCTATCACTTAAAGTGGTAAAACCTTGGTGAAGGTTGTCTCATTTGTATAAAATAGTTCTTAATTGAGTGAGTGATCTTTCAAGTGTAGGTTGTTGAGGGTTAACTAGAATAGTTGTAAAACTCCTTGACTCAACCAAAGAGTGTTTGGGGTGAGGAAGGAGTGAGCTTTCGCTTGTACATCTTGGTTAGCATCGCCATCTATTGAAGAGGCTATTGGATTGATATTTGGTTTGCATTTCTTATCTTTTCTCTTTAATTAAGTTTTCTTTATTGTGCTTAAATTTGATATATCTTTGTGTATCATTGTGATATTGTTTGTACTCATTGGGTTGCACCAGGCCTTACAATTGGTATCAGAGCTTGGTCTCTTTTGATCAAGCTTAACCGCTTAGAGTAAAGATCATGGCAACCATAAAAGTTTCTTTTTTAGAAGGGTAATCTATTGATAGACCACCTATGTTTAATGGTTCTCATTTTAGCATGTGGAAACAAAGAATGATGATTTTCTTACAATCCGTTTATATTGAATTATGGTATGTGGTAGAAGATGGTCCTTATGAAACTAGAATAGTTGACTCTACCACCAATTTGAGTAGATTAAAGACTAGACAAGAATTGAATGAAAAAGACAAGAGATACCTTTCTTTGAATGCCAAGGCCATGTGTATATTGTACAATGCATTAAATGTAAATGAATCTAGTAGGATTAAATGTTGTAAATCAGCTAAAGATATTTGGGATAAATTGTGTGTATTTCATGAAGGTAACCAAGATATTAAAGAACAAAAGAAATCTTTACTTGTTTCTCAATATGAATTTTTCAAAATGCATCCTCTTGAAAATGTTGATAAGATGTGTAGTAGATTTTGTGACATTATTGAAGATCTTAAATTGCTTGGAAAAGAATATTTTTTGGGTGAGAAAAATAGAAAGATTTTGAATGCCTTGCCAAAAGAATGGAAAAACAAAATAAATGCTATAGAAGAGGCAAAGGATTTAAATTCTATGTCCATTGAATATCTTGTGAATTTCCTAACCTCTTATGAATTAAAACTGAAATTCAAAGTGCAAGAGGAAGAAAATGCAAGAATGTATAAGAGAGGCATAGCTTTTAAAGCATCTCAAGTGGGGGATAACCTATCCTTCATGGGTAAGGAAATCATGGAAGTGGACAATGATATAACTCCTCACATCAAAAGTTTCAAGAAGATCTTCAACAAGAGATGTTCAAGAGGAGATTGCAAAATTACATGGGATGAATGCAATTCAAAAAGAGAAAAAGAAGAGTTGGTTCAAATGGCACTAATGGCTGTTGGAGAAGATGAGATAAGTTCTTATCACTCTTCTTGTGATGAAGATAATGAAGATGATGATGTGAAAATTCTTATGATTAAAATGCATAAAAGTTTGAGAAAATCTTATGCTAAAAATAAAGATTTGAAAACAAAAATAAATGATTTGTTGGAAGAAAACTCCAAACTTTTTCAAGAAAACAAATGTTTGAGAATGGAAAATGATGATTTAAAAAATCAAAAAAGTGTTTTTGATTGCAAAAATAATTTGAAAAGGAAGTTGGAAGAGAAAACAAAGTTTTATGAAAAAATGTTGGAGGAACAAAATTTGTTAAAGAAAAGAATTAATGACTTGAACGAGTTTCTCCAAAATGAAAAACAAAAGTTTTCTCAAACAAAAGAAAGCAAATCTTTTCAAGACACAAATAAGTTTGCTATGATAAGAAGTAAGAAAATTAGTTGCATTAAATCCACCTATGTGCAAAATACTTCTATCATGTGTCACTTTTGTTGCAAATTTGGACATATGCAAAATGATTGCTATGTAAAGAAAAATATGAGAAAAGGCATGAAATCCATGTGGATTGCTAGATCATGTCGTATTAACTCCCAAGGACCCTATAAAGAAAGGGTACCAAATGAAATTTCTCATATTTAGGTACATCATGAAGATTTGATCCAAGAAGTGCTATATGGTTGTAAGTACAATTGAAAATTTTGATATTCAATATGGTCTTGATTTGAAAAATAAAGGGGGAGTTTGTTTTTTTGATTGATGCCAAAAGGGGGAGTAGAATTTATTGAAATTTCTTTGTATGTTGGCACTTTCTAAGGGGGAGCTTTATTTGAACTTATTTGATAAAAGAAATCTTCATTTTGTTTGTCATCATCAAAAAGGGGGAGATTGTTGACCTTGGTCGATCAATCCTTGGTTTTGATGATTAACAAACCAAAATGTAGATTTGGGTTAATGTTTTTATGTGAGCAATTTGTTAGAACAGATTCTTGTGGCACAAGAAGAAGCAAAAACAGGGCACTCATGTCAGACGTCCAAAAGGAAGCTATCGGACGTCCGAAAGGATGAAGAACATCAAGAAGGAAACTCTGTCGGACGCTCGTGAGGAAGCATCGGACGTCCGGAAGGATCGGACGCACGCCTCGGACGCACATCGATCGCATCGGACGTCCGAGAAATTTCGCAAAGATTTGATGACTCTCTGACGACGTTCGGACGCAGGGTTCGGACGTCCGACAGGTGGTTTGGACGCAGGGTTCGGACGTCCGACAGGCCAACGGCTAGTTTTGACAGCATTTAATATTTGACCGTTGGAGAGCCTTTTGGAGCCATTTCTCACCTTCTATAAACACCCCAAAGCACAAGAAGACAAGAGACTTTTGCCAACACAAAATACAAGCTTACAAGTGAGATTTTTGAGTAGAAAGATTCTTTGTTGGTTGTATAAGGGGTTGGGAAAGTTGGGTTGTGAGGTTGCTCAAGTGAAGGTTACTCTCTAGGTGGAGTAAAACCTTGGTGAAGGTGAACCTATCACTTGAAGTGGTAAAACCTTGGTGAAGGTTGCCTCATTTGTATAAAATAGTTCTTAATTGGGTGAGTGATCTTTCAAGTGTAGGTTGTTGAGGGTTAACTAGAATAGTTGTAAAACTCCTTGGCTCAACCAAAGAGTGTTTGGGGTGAGGAAGGAGTGAGCCTTCACTTGTACATCTTGGTTAGCATCGCCATCTATTGAAGAGACTATTGGATTGATATTTGGTTTGCATTTCTTATCTTTTCTCTTTAATTAAGTTTTCTTTATTGTGCTTAAATTTGATATATCTTGTGCATCATTGTGATATTGTTTGTACTCATTGGGTTGCACCAGGCCTTACACCTTCCCTCTCTGTCTGGATAACCTCCAACATGAATTTGGTCTTTTTACAAACAATCTGTTGTTGTTGCAAATCCTCCATCTCCTCATCGCAAGGCAACACCTTTCTTTTGCCATTCCCTATAAGACTAAGATCCCGATCATTTAACTCCTTTAAGGGCCTTCTAGTTACAACAGGAGTCTTCAGTTTCCTATAGGACCTTTTTATCTGTTTCTTAACCGTCTCCTGGACCTTACTATTTATAAGAAGCTCTTCCTGGATTTCTGTCTCCCCTTCACTATGCTCCTGGATCCTATCTGCTTGATCTATCCCTGGTGATATCATGCCAGTGTCCTCCTCCCTCACTTCCAACCTTACTGGCTCTTGCCTCTCTCCCACAAAGGCTTGATCAGTCATACAAGGTCCTTGATTACCCAAGGCCCTTTGCTGATAACCAGCATCAGAGCCTCGTTCTACTGTACTATCATCAAATCTACTAGATGTGTTACTGTTATGGATCCCCAAGCTCTTCACCTCCCTTTTCTTATCCAGGAGTTGTTTAGTTCTATTCTCCTTATCTGCATTCTCAAGGAACTCCAACAGCCTATCTCCTATTTGCATCCTACTCCTCTCTCTCTCAACCATCTCTTTATCCTAAAATTTCCAATACCTTTTGTCCTTATTCAGTTCAGTTCTCAAAAGTCTTTCCTTACTAGGACTTCTGGTGCTTCCTGCTCTTATCCAAGGACCATTTTGGTTTTCTGAGAGCTTTGCCATCGTAACTCTTTGCTCTTTACAAGATCTTTCACTATGGCCTACAACACCACAATTATAACAAAAGTCTGGACATCTCTTATATTTGAACACTACCCACTTAAAAGTTCCTGCTGTTTGAACCACTGTGCCTCTAAGTAGAGGTACTGATAGGTCTACAAGGACCAGAATTTTGAGATGTCTACCCTCCTTTCCCCCAGATTGAGGGATAATAACCTCTTTCACTTCCTTAAACACTGCTCCAATCTTCCTACCCATCTCTTTAGTTAGCCAATGCACAGGCAAGTTCCATAGTTGCACCCACAATGGTGCTGTAGCAAAATCTCCATAATTTTTTTCAATCCCTTCTGACCACCTCCTAAAAACCATCACTTGCTTATCTATCACTCACGGACCCCCTTCCACAATCCTTTCTTTCTCTTCCAGATTAGGAACGTTAAATAGGTATAAATTGGGCCCTAGTTCCATAACTGTCAAGTTTTTGGGGTAACTCCAAGCAGCGACAACAAAATTCTTTACCCCTATAAAGTTAGCAACTTTTTCCCTCATAATCCTACCTATCAAACTTCCTTCGCATTCTCTAACTCCACTGTTTAGATCCTCTAGATTCAACATAGCTCCAGAGAGCTCATTTCCGGCTAAAGAAAATTTCTGTAACAACTCGGTCAACTCACCCTCCATAGATACTGATAGAGGTTCCAACGAGTATAACCCTTCCACCTCACAAGAGACAAGAGCTTAACGTCTACCAACTGGAGAAAAACTCACACAAGCACCGATAGGGAAGGAAAAGACAAAACAAAAAAAAGACTACCAGAACGACACTACCTCAGAAAAAATCAGGAAAGATAATAACAGGGGTATCAAGTTAACAAGCTTTAGCTTACCATGGGCCATGGCATTAATGATGCTTAGTGCTTCCTTTGGTTCGACATCCTTCATGAACATGGGCCATAGCATTTGTGATGCTTTATGCTTCCTTTGGTCGGACATCCTTCATGATCTAGCATTAATAATAGTGATGTATTAACTCTGCATTAGATTCAGACATTTTGTATTTTGGTGTTGGATTGTTTCCATGAATGAAGAGTTGTGGGAAATTGTGAGTTTGTTTGGATAGAGAGAATTTGGAAAAAAAAATTTTGCCTCACAAATCTTAATCACCTTTTTATCTTTCTAATCACTTTTTTATCTCACATACATCACATCACAAAAAGTGCTACAGTAAATATCTCAAATAAATCATCCAAATAAACTCTTATCCAAACAAACTCTGTGTTTTTTGAAAAAGTTTTGAGTTTGCTGAAGTTCCCACCACTGGGGGGAGGAAGTATCTAATCCCAAGAGAGAGAGTTCCCTCTACACTGAGAGGATTTCACTTTTTTTGTAATGCATATAAAATGTTTTGTTAACACTGAACAACTATCCATCCCTGTACAATTATCAAGTTCAGGGACTGATCTGGGCCATCATCAAAAGCATAGCTCCTAATGGAGAATTGATGGAACTGGTCTGTCATTGTATTGAAGATTACTTTAAAAGGAAACCAGCAGATCTAAAAACTGGAATAATTATTGTAGCTGCTTTTGTCTTGCATCCTTCCCAGTATGCATCATTCATTTGCTGATGAGTCAGAGTAAGGTACCATGCCTATGTATGAGACGTAGAGTTGAGTCCTCCGGGACTCCAGGAACACTCTGTGCCTAGATGTCTACCACCCATTAAAGTATGATTATCTTAAACAACAAAGCGATAGAAGACAATGTCGAGCTTTCTTCAGAAGCTATCCAGTGGGTTTGCACCACAAGTAGCCTGCTGCATGCTACAAACCATTTCAGAAGACTATATGTAGTGGGAGGCACCCTGGTCACCTTTTCCCAAGAAACGTTCAATCACAACATAAGGCCCCTTTGGAAAACTCTTGAGATCCTAGACCTGAAATCCTTTACTATAACATCAAGAGTTTTATGAATGTATTGAGAATCTTAGGCCTCTTTACCCTTGATCACAAGTTGCAGTTAGACCGGTTGTTTTCTTCTGAATATTAAGCATGGATTACAGTCAAAAGTATAACTCATGATTATAGAAATTAGCATTGACAATAAGTATGTAAGTTTGAATGGAGATGAATGTCTTTCAAGTTATGATACAGACGTCAAGCTTCATGGATTATATCTGTTGCATAGAATGAAAGACTATAGAACTTACAAGACGACAAAAGCTACCAATTGGATACACTAAAAATGTTTATTGACGAAAATTGATGCTTGCTTAATTTGATGAATGTAAGTTTATGGAATATAAGCTTATACGAGATCCATATTTTTACAAATCTTACTTGTAAACCAAGCCATGGGAATCGATTTAGGCCACTGCTGATTCAGCCAAAAACTATTGAGCAATGGCATGTTAGTAAGTGTATTCTGCTTGTTCTAATCTCAGGGGGTTCTGTAAGAAAGACTGCCACAATAGGAGAATGATAAAGAATGAGACTCAATTTAACAGACTAACATTATCACAAGCCACTTCTATTCCAGAAACTTGGCCTCCGCTCCTGAAAGGCTGGCAACCGTTGATATACAATTGATGCAGCTCTTATCAAAATGCCAGCAGTCAAAGCCCATATAACAAACTTCTTGTTCTCTGGGTTGTGATCAAAGAAATGGAGTGCATATTTTTCTCCCATCCATTCTAGCTCCACTTCTCTTCTGTTTTCGTCCTGAAAGCACGGTCATGCAAAAAAGGTGTGGTAAGAGCAATTAGAACTGAGTTTAAGGTGAAAAAGCAGACAGACAAGAAAAAAGAACCTTGAGAAACATCTCTAGGGGTGCATCAAATATTTCTTCCACTTCTGCAGTATTTGCATCTGGTTTAAATGCGCATCTGTCCTGCATAATACCAATAACAGGAACGACTGATATCCCCCGCTGTAGGAACGAAAACAAAGAAAGAGAATCAGAGAGACTTGAAACAATATTCAATAGCCAATACCTTGACAAGCTCTTTAAGGGACATTTCAGTATTTGAGAGATGGGCAACACTTAGAAACTACAATTACTTTTCTTTAAAAAAAAAAAATTTTTCTGGTAGAAACAAACAACATTTACTTTAGTCATCTATATTTGCTATAGCCTCCAGAAACTTTCAGTTTGCTGTCAGATATGGTTTTAAAATACTTCATCAAAACCTTAAATTTCAGAAGATCCCAACACCCAATTGCAGGAAAGTTAAGCAAATCTTGCTTTAGATAACTTCTCGTATTTTCTTGGAATCAGATTATAAAGGAAATCAATAACCTAAGCCACAAATATCTCATAGCCACACCGAAAAACTTCAGGAATGGAATCTCTAACAAAAAGCTAAAGATTCATACTCAAAAATCAGCATAAAGCCATCTTCTTTTGCGCTAGCAACTTCAAGCATCAGCAACCACCTAAGGCAGCACAAGAAAAATCAAAGGACTCTACCATACAAACTGATTATCACAGTTGATAAATCCCTACACATTTGATATTTCCCAGATTTATTGAGCTATACCAAAATAGAAACCAAAAGGGAAAAAAATCAAGTCAATTTCCTACGGTTGGGCAAATATACAGCTATTCTTTTCAGTTGGACTCTACCATACAAACTGATCTACTCTTTTCCCTACACAAAAGGAGACTTGAAAATTGTTCACAAATCTTTCGATCATTACCTTAGTAGTGAAGGATTCAAGAACAGTAACAACATTTACAAGTGAAGGGTCCAATCCTATTTCCTCCTTAGCCTCCCTCAATGCTGTCTCAATGTCATTAGCATCGCCCTCCTCAACTTTTCCACCTGGCAATGCTACTTCCCCTGCAAACCCAAGGGAACAAACAAATGGACACCCAGGACGAATATGTAAATCATGTATAATACTTATGCTATATTGATCGCTTAAGGGCCTTTTTTTCACCTGAATGGGAGGACAGCGTTGAAGATCTTTTGGTGAGGATAACACGGACATCTCCATCAATCCCTTCAAACAGGCAGATCAGGACTGCAGCTCTATTATTGGATTTGGCATTTCCATGTTGGCTGGCATTACTAATTTTATCATCTTCAATAGGATTTGTGATTTTGTTGTTGGTACTATATTTAGTTGGAGGTTTGTATAAACGGAGCTGTTCAGCTAAGTTGTTAAGTTTCTGGGATCCTTCAAACTTGTTGCAGTCCATGAGAAACGAGTATGATGTACTGTGAATTTGTATTCTTGAATCTCGATGTTGGTCTAATTTCCCGACCACTTTGGCGAGTTGGTAGGTAGCGGGGCAAATTGAAATTCAACGAAAAAAATATTCAAAGGATCAGATTTCTGGTTCCTATCTAACAAAAATTCTTTTTCCTCTTTCACCCTTGTTTTCTATAGAAATTTCACGAAAAAATCGTTCAAAACGTTTCTCATATTTCATTAAATAAATCTTTTCGCTCTTCAATTTTAAAATAGTAACCTTACGTTATTTACAAAATTAAATATGTAAAATTTGATTCCAACTTATATTTTTAACCAATTTTTTACTTTGAATACATCACATAATCATTTTTTTGTTAGTAAATTTATCGTTAAAGACATGTTAGTAATTATGTTACAAAACACCAAATCAATTTTCTTCGAAGTACACAATTCCAATAATGACTAATTACACAATTGTTATGTGATACCCTCGTTTGGTTTTGATGTAAAAATTGTTATGTGAGACCCTAAATAACTTAAATGACCAAAACTAGTTTAAGCACTACACTAGTTTGTATTCATATGCATCATATTCAAATTTTGAAACTTTAGTTAGTGCTGGTTTATTTTGATACATTGTGCGTGGTCGAATGGTCAGAGCTAGTTTGACCAAAAAAAAGAATGGTCAGAGCTAAAAAAAAAAAAAACTAGTACTAATATTTTACAATTCAATTTTACATATAGTAGAGGGCACGAAATACTTCTATGGCGGGCTGTTATGCCCAGTTAAGAGGTCTGAGAGGCCGGCTAAGTGTCAGATGGAAAGAATGAAAAGAATTTTTGTTCTAGCGTCTAAAGGGAAGAAAAGAAAAGAGGTTCTAAATAAAGGTTTAGCATCGAATGTAGTATTGGCACATGTTTTCTGGGCCCATACAAGTTGATTATGAAGCATTCTGAACAAAAAATTCAAGATCGAATATAGTGATATGCATATACATTGCAGACATTATTGATTTCAGAAAATACGAAATTCCTTAGTTTGTTGAATACACAAGAAAAAATATCAAGCAAAAGATTGTAAATATAGGATATCAAATCTTTCTTGGGTGTCAGAATCAGTTACTGTGTTGATCTCTCCAAGGAAACCAAAGAGAGAAGAAGATACCGGAGA